CCCAAGTGCTTTAAAATAAACACTACAATTCAGTGCATTTCAAATTACTCCAAGAGGTTCAAATGAGTTGTTTAGATAGTTGTTTAAAGAATGCTTGTAAATGCATAACTCGTAATGTGTCTTTAAGCTGCACTTGTCCAGGTCAGGCTGTCCTTCAAAACAAAAGCCCAGGGTCAGCCTCATACATGGCCTCTCTGATGTCACAGAGTTTACAGCACCGCCCTCGACCTCGAGGTTCAAAGGTCACATAGACCACACACTTCCTGCAGCAGGTGAATAAGTGCACCGGAATCCCATAATGTTTACAGTCGGGGGGCAGGTGGCAGGTGAGAATTGATCAAAACACCATCTTGCTTTTATTATTAAGTGATCAACATGTAACAGAATGATTGCCTGTTGAATCCCAGTGGATACTGTAGTGGAGCCCTTGAGGCACTTCACTATTTATGAAGATGATGTTTAAGTTTGAGTATGAGTGTATGGTTTAAATGGCCAAGTTTGCACTCAAATATATGTGTTAATGATCTATACATCCAGTGCTTTGTTATTTGTACAAGATTTTTTTATATGTAACTCAGTAAAGTAAAAGTTGTTATATTGCAAAAGCAGCTCAATGGGTCAAAAGTTAGACTCTCTTTTATTCTCTGGCTTTTAATACTGTGTGAGTTGTGTGGTCCTCTGTGTCTTTTATTTATTTATTTTATTTATTTATTGTTTTTATCAGTTTTATTTTTTAGTACTGCTTTTATGTATTGATTTTATTATTTTTGTTCATTGATTTTATTATTATTAGTTTATTTATTGATTCTCTTAGTTTCCTCATGGTTGAAACTTAATTCTGCTGATTTTTTTTTTTTAAGTAAAAGGTTTTACATTGCTATGTGAAGGATTTTGCAAACTGTCTTGTTTATAAAATGTGCTATACAAATAAAGTTGGATTGGATTAGTCTAGTCATGTTAGCAGTGTTAATAGGTGGACATTATAAACTTGTAAACTCTTATAAACTGTAAAAATAGAACATTATGAGAAATGAGTTTGGATTGCTTTTCTGCTTTTGACATACACTACTAATCAAAAAATTTTAGAACACCACACTTTTTCTGTTTTTTTACAGTTTACTGTTTTTGTTGACCAAAATGTATTTTAAACTTTTGATTCATGAAAGTGTCCACCTTTGGCAAATATAACAGCTGAACACACTTGTGGCTCATTCTTTTTACCATAGAAATCAAATATTCTTCAGAACGTTCTTCCCAAGTCTTTTACAGAAGTTCCCATAAATGCGTGGCACTTCAGTTGCTTGGATTTCACTCTTCTGTCCAGTTCATTCCCAAACCAGCTCGATGGGGTTTAAGTCTGGAGACTGTGCTGGCCACTGCATGTTTTCAAGCTCACCATCTTGTTCTTTTTTCCTGAGGTTGTTTTGGCAGAGCTTGGACTTGTATTTTGTTCTTTCTTTTTTTTTTTTTTTTTTTCCTCTGGCTGTTCAGTTCTTACCCTTGTACCATTTCAAGCTCTTCATTGGACTTGCATGACTTGAATTGCAATAAATAACTGGAAAAATGAGAGTGTTCTAAAACTTTTGACCGGTAGTGTATTAAGACAATAAAAATAGGCTTTTACTGTCAGTTGATATTTAGTACAGCATACATTTTGCTTGGACTGGATGGGATTTTATATTGTATAGTTTTTCAAAAGTTGTTTTTGGAGAAGAAAATGGACATATAGGTTATGAATTAGATTAATACATCCATAGTTCACATATATTTTTACAGCATTCAGGTGTGAAGTCTGGGTAAGTGTTGAAGGACCAGTATACTCATTCAGAAGTTTTTTACTTGTATATATATTTTTTTTCCATTCTTTCTGAGCCAGGTGGAAATTACTTTTATTGAGCTTCCCGTTAACAGTGTTTCCGTGAGGGGCAGGCACTTGTGGAGGTGATATTCAGACACAGTGAGAGGCCTGATGGCTGTAGTGCAGTCTGATTCACTCACAGTACCCTCTGCCTCTCAGGAACACACTCTAAATTATGTGAGGGGGAAAGGGCTGCCAGACTGGAAATAAAGCAGGAAAAAACTTTTCAATGTGAATTACACACTGGTCATGAGTGAGGGGCCTTAGACGTCCCTTTATGGCCGACTTTCTCAATGTAGTCTGGGTCAAACATTGTACATTCCTGTTCCAACTTTATTAGCAATGCACAGAACTACTATTGTATTTTTTTTTTGCTTATATATTTTGACTTATTTGTAAATGTTTCCACAAGTTACACATTTGTTGTTCTGATTTATAATAACCAAAAAGACCCCATTTGGCAAAGACATCAGGTTTAGCGTGGCCTTGTTGTGTCCATGTGCACTAAATAAAGTGGCGGTTTGAGGATGAGACAGTTCCACAGGGAGCAGGCATCAGAACACAGTCCAGCCTCCTCATGACTTACACAGCGGGCAGCAGCAGAGACCAGCGGACGTATACATACAAGACATTTTCCCACATTAAATAACACTGAGTCAGATATTTATTGTTACAACATGGAAAGAGCACTGTTTCCCTGTGCTAAATAATCATACATGTAATAAATTTTATCTCTGTATGTTTTGGTTGTGTAGTAAAAATAGGCAAAATATAGAATGTTTTATTGTTGTTTAGCGTAGCATATATAGTGCATTATAGACTGGTAAAACAATGACACAGAGAGAGAGAGAGAGATATGAACCCATCACTGCACTATTAGCCTCAATATGTCACCCATTCCAAATGTGAGACAAATACATGTGGAAACGCAACAGGAGTGGAAGGGGAATAAAAAGACATAGGTGTGTCTTTCTGAGAAATAAGGAAAGGCTGTGACCCTCTCAGGCAAAATAATAACTTGGCTGTAGCTTGACATCTTTGGCATAAGACTCAAGACCTAGGCAAGTGCAGCTACAGCCGTAAAGGACTTGCACATTTATGAATAAGTAAGACAAGCATGTTAGGTTAGATTTCAGCAAAATAGGTCTCTGATTATTTTATTTTTTTTCTCTGATTATTTAAAATTAAATAAACTGCATCTGCTTTACTTTCATTATGAAAGCTTATTAAGTCATAATGACTTAATCATAATAATGAATAATTAAACTATAATAATGAATAATGAAACTAATGCAGATGCAGTTTATATGTAATGTGTAACTATAACAACTGTTTTATCAGTTATGTAAACATTGTAATCATGTAATGTTAATCAGATAAAAAATTGCAACATAATCATGGATCTTTCTGAGAGCTCCTTTCATATGTCTGTGCATCGTCTTTCACATCTCTGTTACCTTAGCTCTTAAACAGCAGGCGATCTCCATTGCCCTCGATGGGATCCTACATTATATTCCTGCTTTGGTAACCTAAACTTTTTGTAGCCTTTGTTGTGGTGTGTCTAGGTCATTTAGTGAGAAGCTTCAGTTTCAGATGAAAAAAATATAAAGTGAGGTGCCCCAAGAGTGCTCTAAAGTCTTGCCAGGAAATCTAAATGCTACTAGGTTAAAATCAAGACCAAAGTCTAGACCAAATAATTTTCTATTCAAACTTTTGTATATTTAGTTTTTTTCTACTTTTGGCATTTCATTATTATTGCTCTGTGTGTGATGTATTAAACAGTAATAGCATCACTTTCATGATAATAGTGCTGAATTTACTAAAATTGTCTCAAATCTACTGAGAACATCGAGAACTAATGATAAGTAGAGTATGTGCTCTGTCCTGGCAAGTATCTGCAGAATACAAATAGGTTGATATTGCAGTACAGTTAGTGAAGCTAATTTCGTCCAACTTTCAGTAAACTTGTAGCTTCTATAGGGTCTACCCTATACTTGAGAGATGTGTTCTGGTGTGTTTATTTGAATGTCAATTTTGTTGTGCTGTCCAAGCTCTTGAAAAAGGTGAGGAAAATCTTTGGCGTCTTTGGCGCCTCTTAGTGGACAGACTTAAAATGTAAACATAAAGGCCTGATATCAATGTGACATTTGTGTACAAACTTACTAGCCTTAAAACCTGTTTCCCTGAAAGAATTAAGTAATAATAGTAATGCGTAGTTATACATAACAGTCGGACTGTTATATATTACATTAAACTAAACTTAATATTGCATTAAAGTGCCAATACATAACAAGCATTTTTCAAGAACACTGTTTCTTGTTAGCCTAAGTTTACAGTCTATTCAGAGAAAGTCATTTCACCATATTGAGCCTCTGAAGAAGAAAACCTTTTGGCTTAGGCTGTGATCCTTATCAGATTTTAACTTTGTTCTTTCTGCCAGGCAGAGATTGAACCCTGAAGCTTAGTGCTTTCACATACAAACCCCCCTCTGTCCATCCAGCCCACCCTTTGTCCCCTGCACACGGTGTCCCCCTAAATATAGTCGGGTATTTGGGACAGGGCCTGCCCATCCCTCCACATCCATGGTATTTAACTCCATCAGTCTCTGTCAGGACGTCCAGGCGCAGACATCTCATGGTGAGACCTAAATGTTCTGATAAGCTGTGAACAATGTTGTTACACGTTAATGATCCAGGCCTGAAACACACAGGACAAACCAGCAAATGTGCCCAACATGCATTCTCCACCAAACAATCGCTGACACACCCCCCACACATCCCACACATGTAAAAATAGAAACTATTTTGTTTGAGCTGCAGATCTGTGCCTGGGGAATTTACCATTATCAACACTCATTCACAAACATATCCACATTTAGGAAGATCAAACACTGGAGCTTTAATTTCTGCCTTTACAACAATACTGAGCTGAAGTTAGAGGACTATATTAGACCTACTTATAGAAGTGTTTATTTAGAGCTTCTGGCACAGAGGCAGTTGATATTAGAACCTAACTAGATTCTAAAGAAAGAATATTTGTCAGGTGAAAAATGCATATATTTATTGGAAGTAAAAGATGAAGTACTAGCACAAGTAAACAACCCACCCCAGAGCTTTATATCATCAAATGACATATTAAATACATGGGTTTTGAGGAAGGTGGAGAAGAGCTCACTTATGATCTCCCCACTCAGCCACATACACCCTTCATGGTAAGTCCAGTGTCTAGCCCGGCCCACTGTTTGTCCAGCTGTTTGGAGCAGTGTCTGGTCCCATGTGACCTGGTGTTTCTGCAGCTGCCATTGGATCAGAACACAGACCCACAGGACGCTCCTGGCCTGTTTATCTGGGATGCTCCCCTTCTGGATTGGGTAACAGTAGAAGCAGGACAGGGGCGAAGAATTAACCCCTTTGTACGAAACATCTGGACACAAGCACTCGTGAGGTGTTGACAAACCATAGTTAAAGGTGCACCATGTAACATATCTGGTGGAGGGTTTGCCACCTGCTTGGCTCCATAGAAATATTACTGCTATTTTTCCACAGTATGCATTAAAGTGCTTATGACGTGTTTTTATTATTCTCTAATTTTGACTTATATTGGTGGGAAAATAACTATTGTAAACATAAATTATAGTTTGCACTATAAAGAGAGTTTTAAGCAGAATGACATAAGGAAAATTCTGTCCAGAAGTTTGGCACAATTTACACGTATTTGCATTATTATTTAGCATTTTGTTATAATTTTATTTTCCTAATAATAATTTCTGTGTCTATTTGAGGAGTTTTGGTCCAGTGTATTGCTAGGTACTGTTATGGAAAATCCCTAGTGTGATTTTACAGTTTCCAACCAGAAAGTCATATTTGAAACCTAAAAAATGACCAAACTGTAAAAAAAAAAAAAAAAAAAAAAAAAAAAAAAAAACTTAAATCTTTTGTAATCTTTAATATAATTATCTTAACTATGTTTTGGTAAAATAAGTAGTCCAACCTGTCATAGGCACTATAAACTAGTCTATGTGCATGGAGATAGAGCGAGATTAAGAATTTAAGCGATATATGTGTAGAGAGAGGATTCTGCACACATATTTATCTAGTTATTTTTACTAGCATGAACCCACTGTTTCTATACCTAAAGAGCTATATTGTTGTTAAAGTAAAATCATTAGGGCCGGAGTTACTTGTGAACATTTGTAGCTGAATGAGTTAATACTCTGGTTAACTTCTTAAATGATTGTTTACCATGATCTTCGAGGCGACAGAGTTATAGGAACCAAAGAAGAAGAGTGGAGAGCTTGGTCTAGAGAGGAAAGAGGCGCCCACAGCATCAGAGAGGCGCTGAAACCTGACGGATTCACACTCACACCACTATCACACACATGCAACAGCACTGGGGACAGGACAGGAGGATGGTGCTGTGTCCTTATCTGCACCAATATAGCGCAAACATGTGGTCAGGCCAGGCTGAGCTCACAAACCTTGTTATAATGAGAGTATTATCAAACTGTGCTCATGCTCTACTGATCCTGATTCAGCACTAATACTTTGAGACACCCTCCTGTCTGCGAATGGACCATTTAAAATGACATTAGGTTTGTCACTGACCAGATGCAGGATATGAGTGTTGCCTTTGCATTTATCTCACATTCCAAGTAACCCTTAACTTATTCAATGGAGATTTATTAGAAACAGTTTACTATTAGCCATACAGTATTTCCTGTACTTTAAAATAATGCGAAACATTCTCAAGGATGTCAAATGCATTTTATATTGAAATGTTTTTCAATTTTAACTTAATTTTAAATCTGAAATTATTCCAAGTACCAGACCACTGACCTATTTAACTCATGACCTCAGGAACTCTGCAACTGCACCTACCTTCAAGAAAAATATTTTTTCTCTATATGATTCAGTGTTTTTATCTTTCCTGAATTATTAATTTATTGCTCTTTTGACAGTTTTAATATTTGATTTGTAAAGCGTCTTGTGTGTCCTGAAAAGCCCTCACTTAATAATCATATTAAGTGTGGTTAATATGATTATGGCAACTGCGCTAAATTAGATGCAGATTTTTAAATAAAACAGATTCTTAACAGTGAGTCATGGCCTTGCACAACTGAACCATTGAATTTAGAAGCTATTCACTTCACACTGATAAAATTAATGTATTACTTTAATGTCTTATAGTACAAAATGAACAAGCATCAACAAGCTATAAACACCCTTATGTTTACACAACAAGCTAAATCACTATGCTGAACCTGTGCACAGAGAACAGATTAAACTGAGATCTGCCCCAAAGCTAATCACAGCTCAGGCGTTATTGTCCCTGTTGACCAGCTCGTTTATCAGACACATGCACATTTGCTATAATCCTCTGTCTGTTCTGGATCTTGTTTACAGATGTCTTTCTCTGTGCAGCTTTGACTTCACTGATGTTTAAAAGTGTCCGGACCTTTCGGCGTTCGGCCTGCTCCATGCGGGTGCTCAGCTGGTGGCTCATGTCTGTCAGTGGAGCTATTACCATCCGCTGTGCGTGTGTGCGCCTCCAGCTCTGACCTTCAAACTAATGCTGAACACTACACTCAACACCTCCCCAGGCACTGCACACACAACGCACTCTATTCTGAGACACTGCCAGCGTGTTGGCTTATGTGCAGCACAATCACTACATTATGATTAATAAGTATCCATGAGTTTCAGAATGATGGATTATAATTCGAACTGTTGCCATGTAGAGATAAACAATTTTTAAATGTCCTATATTACATAAAATTGACTCTTGTGAGCTTTAAGTCCTGTTGTAATGCTGTGACCTTCTCAAAAACATCTATAGAGTTATGGTTTGTTTCATTCACATGTTTAAGTTACCCTGATTTACTGGCCTGGCTACATCTCCAAAGCTAAAAATGTCCTGTCCCACCTTTTGATGTAATTTAGCGATAGCTTTCAAATTAGCAGCTGCCTTATTTCAGTAGAGGTTGGCAATTCCAGAGCTGAAATTATCAAAATGATTCTAGTAAGGTGTAGAAAGTTTAAAAACACCGTGCACTTCCTGTATTACCACATGACATCACAAGGTGGAACAGAGGAGGCAGAAGAGAGAAAAGAACACTAATAATGCCTAAAAATGCTAAATCTATGTGTTAAACATGTGTAAATGAAACAAAACAAAGATCCAAGTATGTTTGTGTTGAAGACACTACATATCCGAAAATAGTGCAATATGGGCCCTTTAAATTAATTTCACATTTAACGGGCTGCTGAAACCCAAGAATATGAATTAAATAAGAAATAAGTTATGAAAACTAGTATTTCTTGAAACATTATTTTCAGAAGAAGCTCAATAATCAATACTGGACATGTAAGTATGCCTTTGTGATAATTTAAAACAAGATAAATTAACATACAAGCTAAACATATTCATAAAAAAACAATAAAAAACTATAAGGCAAAACTACAAACAATAACTTATTACTATGGATATGTATAGACAACTGTAAATATAATGAAAAAAATCCCTCATCAATCTAAACATGTGTAACGACAGAAAGGTAAGATCTTGATGAAGAATACAGCTGAGCTCTCCAGATCTGGACTGGCTCAGCGCTCCATGACAATGTGATAATGCCACAATGGGCCTGCAACAAATGAGAGCCAGTGCTAATGTCCCTGCTCCACAAAAGGCTCTGATCCAAGGCCTTAGCGCTTCACTGTGGGCTATTCTGACAGGTGTGTGAGAGAGAGGGGCCTGTTTATCTGGATTTCAACTTCACTGTTCACCATCAATCTACTGTAGCTGCTACAAGTATTGTTAGAATAGATTTCTCATAGACTACTGAACTTCTCTGATGCATAAAGTTTAGAGTTTTTGGATCAAACTGAAAATCCAGTAAACATGGTGTTTAAAACCTTAAGACACTCCCTTCCTTTGCAATGTAATTTTTTATTTTTTTTACATACATGTTATTCTATTTTTTAATTATATTTATTATATTTGGAATTTATTATTACTGTGTCTAAATGAGGGCAGGATCCATAGCAAAAGCAAAAAAATAATAAATAAAATAAAAATCCACTTGACAGAATTAAAAATGTATTTTGCTTTTTTCGCTGCCCACCATGAAAAGTTAATAAAAGATTACTTTTATTACTTGTGAAAGATGATTATTGAACTTTGAACCAACTGGTTTGTTCTTACTGAAAGCTAAAAATGCCCAAGCAGAGCTTTTGGGCTAAAGGTACACTGCACATGCCATCTGCCTGAACACAGAGCTGACGGAGAAGACGTGAGGAGATCCAGTGATGAATGAGTACAGCAGTGGAAGCAGAGACACAGAAAGGCCAGAGGGATGGTGACAAGTTGGACAGCGTCAGGCTTCATCTGCTCCTTCAGGCCGTTCGATAAATTTAAATCTGAGGAGTGGTCAGTGCTTCAGCTTGCATTCCTCTGTGTGTTTGTGCAGACATGAGAAGAGGAGAGCTCATTGCATCCTGACCTTTTCAGAAAATCTGTCAAGCATGACTGCAGTTACTGGCTCAAGTCTTTTTTATGCAATCAAAAATGAACTGCTAAAGTTCAAACCAATTATTTCCTCATTATGTTAAATGATGCCAGTTGGAGTACCTTTTTAACTTCCCAAATATCAGACCAACTTGCCACAGAAATTTAACAATTACAAAATAAAGTATTTGGTGCAACCAGAGTGATGTTTTTTCTCTATTCTCTGCGTATCTTTATGCATATTGCTCTTATTATTTTGTGAGTAAACTAAATTTCATAATTAAATAAACTTTTACACCTCACGGTTATCTAAGCATGCATGCTGTATGTGCTGCTTGGATAAATAAATAAAATAAAGCAGTCTTCACTTTAGTAAAATTTACCTTGACTGAAGGTTCGAACATTTTTGACAAGTTTATAGCTTGAACTAATACAAATTGGTGTAGCTTTGTTAAAAATAATTGTTATCGAGTCAACACGAACACATTTTCCATCAGTGAGTCTGTTGCATACTTATCCAATATTCCAGAAGTGTTACTTTACAGCCTGTATCCTTTGTGCATTCATAACAAGGTGCGCGTTCTCTCATTAGATGTGTTAAGTATTAAATTTGTGGCCTAGATCAGAGTTGATATTAGGTGTCTGTTTAATGTCCCTCTGTCAGTACACTGCATAACACAAACTCACCTCTACCTTCCTGTTCCCTCTCCAGCTCGGGTGGCACATTCTGCACATTAGCCCCTGTACACAGACACAATGCCCTGGTGCGGGGCAGGGGTCACTGGCTGTTGAACCCTCCTTTATAGCACCCTCTGTCTTGCACTGAGTTGCATGAATAGGGCTGTTATGACCAATAAGCAAACTATGCACAGGCACCCAGAATGTTCACTTCCATTGCTTAGAGTTGCACTATGTGACTTTTCAGTTGGGGTCTTCTTGTTTTTATGGAAATGTGTCATTGCTCTGCTTAGAATGCTCCACAGTATGACCTTAAACAGCACTACCTTATATTTATTCAACTACAGAATGCTCAAAAATGCTAAAAACAGACATTCTGACTGTGAGCAGGGTTACCTCTCCACATATCTGACCTGTAACTTGGCCTGGTTTGGGTTCAGTGGTGACAGAAAGGTTTAATACCCTACTGTGAAACATTCCAGAAAAACAATCCACAATGCACCTTTAATCGTTGGCTCAAAATTAGCCCAAGCTCTACCAATATTAATTATTTTTAACACTTATCATCATCAACTTCAACATATCAAGTAAAAAATGTAATTGTGACATGTTCACAGATAGCAATAGTCATTTTATTTTAATTTGGCAAAGTGGGGCCCCCAAACCAATTGTTTGCTTTAAAGCTAGAAGTGGCCCTGTGTAGGTAGATACTAAGTGACCGTCCGAGATTCTAGATGAGCCCTAATTATTTCTTGATGTCAGACTAAAATGATAACA